GTAACATGCCAGGCACTTGTTTTGTGTGTTTGAGTTTACATCCCTACACGCATACACCGCAGAACACGATGCATTATGCAATAGTTTTTAGGCTTGGCGGCGGCGAAGAGATAATGACATAAATTTTTTCTTTGAAGCAACACACTGTCCAACAACGAAAAGACTAAGAAGAAGAAGAACTGACACACTGATGATGAATAATTAACTGATAGTGTGCACTGAGTAAAAAAATTTATTGACAAAAAGTATGCATATCCACGACGAAGAAATGTTTGACGTGAATGCATTCGCTGTCTACCTACCTACGCTTCCTACCTGACAGTGTTACTCTATATCAAGCATAATGCTACATAGTATCACACTGTCTTACACAGTGATGTTTTTAGCAGGATATATATATATATATATATATATATATATATATATATATATATATATATATATACATTATTTACTCAGTGATATTACAATAGAGTGAATAGTTTGAAATAAAAATTATGTTTCTTCTGTAGAAATAATTGTTCATACAGTGGTGTATTTAAAATATGAAATAATTTTTTTTCTTTTTAAATTATAGAGAGCTTGAAGTAAAAAATTTTTCAAAAATTTGTTGCTTCTTTTAAATTGTCTAACTTTTAAAAAAAAATCTTAAAAAATCCCCTTTGCTAATGCTCTGCTAAAAAATCATTTTACTGTTAAGTTACACATGAAACGAATATAAAAACCAGGAAAAAAGTTCAGTTCATTAGTTTTGTCAGAATAAAATGGGAAGTAATAAAATGGAGAACATGCTCCGAAGGGTAGTAGCCAAATGCGAAACTTAAATGGCCTGTGTCGTTTTGCAAACATTCTCATTGGGTAAGAAATTTTCAGGTAAAACAAAATAAAAATTAATTGAAAAATTAATAAATGATTTCAACATTAACATTTTTATTTGCATATTATAACGCTATTTATTCAAATTTATTGCAAAAGAGATTGTTTGTTGGTGAACTAACATTTAATGAGTCTTATCCTATTGAAACTTCTTGCCCCGTTGAACATATTTAGACTAGCAGAGAACGTTAAACTATTTTTCGTTTAGGAACAACGTACGATGCTGCTACTAATTTCAAAAATTTCAAAACAACATTACATGAGAGATGGAGGTATGGAAGAGAGCAATCAAGCGTGTGTTGCCATCCATTTCAATCTCCCTGACACAAGTCGACCTCCTCAACCAAGCAAGAAACGTTTTGCGTCTGACAACTCATCACGTATTTCCATTCAATTCTATAGCCTGCAATCAAGTGCGAACAACCATTTTGTTTATATTTACAAAACTTTTTTATGAAAAAAAAACTTTAAAAAGCTTGAAAAAAAAATTTACTACACGGTTTCGTGTTTGGTGGGTGAGTGTGAGGCAGCCAGAACGATTCATCACGTGAATGAAACACAATGAACATGTGCAGTGCAGTATTATAAATGCTCAACAACTGTGTCCTCAAGTCATCAGTTAGTGGCTCTCTCAATGCTTGAGTTATTCACGGAAATAAATCATACATTTTAAACATTATTACTGCTCGTTTGTTTTGAAATTCGCCATCTGAATACGACTTGAAAATGAAAACATGCTGAACACGGGTTGTTCGTTAAGCTAGATTTTTTTTTCAAAAATGGTAATTATTTGAATTTAAAAATAATGTTCGTTAACTTTGGTAGATTATTTCAAACATTTTACATATTTAAAATTCCACAAGAATTATTCCGCATGAGTAGTTTCACAATTTATTCCTAGAAAACATCATTAAATTTTTTGATGAAAATAATCAAATTTTTTAGAATATATTTATCGTACAGTATTTTTAACTTAGTTTTATACGTCCAAATTACTTCCTGGTGACTTTTATTTTGGTCAATCTCAACTTTTTTAGTTTTGTTTCATTACTGACATGTTGAGCGTTTTTTGCTTTCAATATTTAATAGATTTTGAAAAAAATTTGAATTTAAAAAAATTCACGGTGTATCGGTGTTGTTATTGCTGATAAAATAAATAAATTGAACTAAACCAAATATTTTCCATGAAATCATAAACCTAATAAATCAAATCATCAACCCATTAAAAATCAGTTTGTTATATAATTAGTAGATGATAATTCTGTTCCAAAACGTGATATATCGAAGATTAAAATCAAATATGAACATAATTTAATTGCTTGCCCCCGCTCGGTTCAAAGCACCTTATACTGCTGCTGCAGTGAGAAGCTTCGAACGCAACTACATCCCCGCTGGTCACATGCGGTCTGCCTTAGTTGTGGAATCATGGAATATTTTCAAGCGCTTGTTTGCACATGCATCTGAGTTAAGAATTAAGTAGAAAAAAAAGATAAAATAGTAAGAATACAAATAACAAATGGTGGAAATTAAGCGATCTTGTTAAACAATTAGTCTGAACATTGAGGCCAGCTTTGTTGATTATAACATTTACGATGTTTCAATGAAATTTAAAATAAAGTTCCAAAATAAATTTGTTGGTAAAAAAAGTGAATTAAAAATTTCACAACTGAATGGCTACAATGTGATTTAACCAAACGGGTAACATTTGTTGGAGTCATGTTCATTTACTACGAGAACACAGCCTATTGAAGTTATTTTGTCAAATATGAAAAAACGTTTGAAGGATGTTATTGAAAATAGAAAACTAATTTTGAAAAAAAAAATTTTAATCTTCAATACGAAGATAATGAAAAAAACTAACGTCTGAGGTGTAAATAATTTTTCAGGCAAACCACAAGGTTAATTTATTTTTTATTTGTTATGTTTGTAACTTTTAAACGGTTGATAACATATGAAAAGTTTATTTAACTAGAAACAAACAAATAGTTATATAACAAAAATCAAATAAATTATGCCAGAATTCAATAACAAATACAAAAATTAACCCAAATTACATTGAATCACGTTAACAGTTATTTCATTTCAAGTTTCAATTATTTTCTAGTTTTGTGATTTATTCATTCGTAGTTAACTCGATGAATTATTTCTCTATTTATTATTAGATGTTTATCAGCCGTAAAATCCAACAAAAACCTTCTTACAGACTTGTTAGTTCAATTATTTACAGCTATTTAACCATCGAAACTCAGAACTAAGGTCAGACATCTGAATGAATTAGAATCCTAATTCTCAATGAAAGACGTATTAACGTATCGCTGCTTACCTTTGAACGAGAATCCATTATATACGCCCATACATTTACGCACGTATACAGATGCATCACTTGTATTTGGAAACCTCATCGTGTCTTTATGACATACATATCGTATGTACACATACATGACTATTATGTCATGTACCTATAATGCAAACATCACACATCCACACACACATACACACACATCCACACACACACTCATCCACACACACACACACACACATCCACACACACATACACACACATCCACACACACACTCATCCACACACACACACATCCACACACACATATACACACATCCACACACTCACAAACTAGCAAACACACACCCACAAGCACACAGACACAAAAAAATAAATGTATGTGTGTATTGTAATAAATATTTTTACTTTATGCAATAATATCATTATACAGACATACAAATATACATACATTCATACATACATATATATACAAACATACACACACGAATTTATTACACGAACAACAAAACCTCATATTTTGTTCTTAAAAATAATTTCAACACAAAACCAGTATCGATAATGAAGAGCAGTCATCTAGTATATTCTTTTGATTTTAAAATCGGTGATTGTAAGCACCGAAACACAGAATATATCGGATTTACTACTACGACTTTATCAAGAAGGTCAACAATGCATACGGTGCACAAAATGGTGTAATAAAAAATCATCTAATGGATTCACACAAAAAAAATAACAAAAAAAATATTAAACTCAAATACCAAAGTGCAATTTTACAACCATAATGTAAGTCATTTAAGAATGGCAGAGACTTTATTAATAGAAAAAAAAGAAACCCTGTAATAAACATCAAACAACAGACTGTAACGATCCTAGCGACAAAAAATCACTCACACAAAGAACTCCATGGAACTTAGACTTCCATCAAGTTCTTAAAAATACCACAAATACCAGGTAAATTACAATAACAATATCACAATTTCTATTACACTGATGATGGTGAAGGTTGCCGAAAAAATTGGAAAACTCGCTCGCTCGCTCAACTCTACATAACTCGGACATTGTTCATTTACATTATATTACTATCATCATAGATGACTTTAATTGGCGACTTACGTGTGCTGAGTATTAGTTAGTTAGTTTTTAAAGTGTTATAAAGTTTAATAGTCGAAATCGAACGAGAGACGACTCGCCCATTATTGTTAATAATATTTCTATTGTTTGATTGCAACTGAATATATTTTAATGAAGTAAAATAACAAAACTTGAAACTGAGAATTAAAACATAAAATATATAGAGTAAAACAAATAATAATGTGTATAAGTAGTGTTCGTGAGCTTTAAAAGTGTTAAAGAGATAAATAACTTAGATAACTTTCAACTTAAATATCCTTAACTCATGTGCTCGCCTATTACATGCTAGTAGACCTTGCTCCCTAAAGTTTAACTAGTTGTCTAACTCCTTCTAACCAGTCAGTCCCTATTGTATGTCACCTCATCCTTAATACACAAAGTATTATATGCTCTGATTAATTATACGTTATATTATCTTATATCAAGTTGCTTTATGTCTGTAAATTTGCTGTCTCGTCGTGAGCTACCTCTATAACTTAACTATCATTATAATTACATACCTGTTTTTTAACACATCTGTATACATACAACCTTTATTTACTTATACCTCCTAACATAAATTTCCATCTACATGATAATATTTATCTTCCGACCATTCCGTGGAGTTTTGTTAATTCATTTTCTGAGTTGTTTGTATATATATGTATTTAAAAAAATTAGATGCAAATTTATATTTTTTAACATTTTTTTTTTATTCTAATTCAAAATATATTTTCACTCTCGGACATTTGAATTCATACATCAAGCACATCCCACGAGATTGCAGAGTGATCATCACTGATTGGTCAGCTGGAAATTTTCTTCAATTACAAAAGCTAGTGTTGATAGTGGTGGTGGTCATGCTAAATCTCGAAATAACATACCACAACAAGTTCTTAATAATTCAATTTCACTACTGAAAAATTCCAAGAAATATAATTTGAAAAAGTAGCTAAAAATACAACAGTGTTAACATCGCTCAGCTTGCTTACTGGCGCAAGAACAAATTATTTTCCAGGAAAATATTTGAAAACTTTTATTAATATCAATTCTTCCGTGGTTAATTTTTAAAGATATCAACAACAACAACACACGCACAGTGCAATGCATAACGTAAAAATCACAAAAATGCAATTGGAAAGCGGGAATCTTTTTGCAGTCGAACCATGAGACAGCAACAGACGAACCAGGCTCCTTACACTATCCTGCCGCCTGCCTAAAATCACAGCCACTTACAGTCTATCCATTTTTAATCCCGCTTATATTTCAATATAATATAAATAAATAAAATCATTGTTAAACAACTAAATGAATAATCTAACAAATATCATGTGCATTTATTTATCTTAATTTATACATAAATTGCTCATATTTATACATATATATTAACATTGAAAAAATGTGTACATACTTTTAAAAAAATCGACAAAGAGGTAGACATATACATAAACGTATGCATGTTTGTGTTATATTGTGTTATAAATAGACAGTAGACATATACATAGGCACACGTGTCGTTGTTCACGTTTGTGTATAGATGTATGCACATTAGACATATACTTAGACACACGTGTTGTTGTTCATGTTTGTGCTATAGATATATGCACAATTGCACAGTAGACATATACTTAGACACACGTGTTGTTGTTCATGTTTGTGTTATAGATATATGCACAGTAGACATATACTTAGACACACGTGTTGTTGTTCATGTTTGTGTTATAGATATATGCACAGTAGACATATACTTAGACACACGTGTTGTTGTTCATGTTTGTGTTATAGATATATGCACAGTAGACATATACTTAGACACACGTGTTGTTGTTCATGTTTGTGTTATAGATATATGCACATTAGACATATACTTACTTAGACACACGTGTTGTTGCGCAACTGCTGATGTTGCGACCAGGCAATTGGAGGTTGTGTAAATATTTGCCTGAGTTCGCGTGTCTATAAATTTCTGAGATGGAGTGCGTCAGTCGCTGGCAGCAGTAATTATTCTCTTCAGTTTATTCAAATGCTAGGAATAATTAAACGCCATCTATGAGAGTCATTTTGGTATATCATATCCTACATATACATAAACGCATTTATATTGTATTCATATATAAATACATTTATATATATAAATTCATTAAATTTATAAATATATATATATATATATATATATATGTGTGTGTGTGTGTGTGTGTGTGTGTGTGTGTGTGTGTGTGTGTGTGTGTGTGTGTGTGTGTGTGTGTGTGTGTGTGTGTGTGTGTGTACATACATAGTTTTTTCTTAAAGTTTTTTTACATTTTTTTTATTTAATTTCATAGACTTTTATCGATAGTTACAATATTTTAATGACTCTAGAATGAATATTTGTATAATTTCAAATCAAATTTTTTTTAAACCTTTTTACCGAAATATATAAATTTAACAACAAAAAAGTTTATAAAATTTCTAAAATAAAAAAATTATTCTATTTTGAGAGTAATTTACAAATATTTAAAGAAATAATAGCTTCTTATAAATAATTGCAGACTTTTTGAAAAGTGGAATGATATCCGTAATAGGTTTTGTCGCACTGCAAAAAGACAAGCAGGATTAAAATTATATTAGTGTATAGCATTGTATTGTATTGTATTGTATTGCACTGTATTGTTTTGTGTTGTATTGTATGGTTTTTTATTTTTTTTTATTGTATTGTATTGTTTTTTATTGTTTGGTATGGCGTTGTCATGTATTGTCTTGTATTGTATTGTATTGCTTTGTATTGTATTGAATCCTATTGTATTGTATTGTATTGTTTTTTATTGTATTGTATTGTTTTGTATTGCATTGTATTTTTCTGTATTGTATTGTATTGTATTGTATGGTATTTTATTGTTTTTTATTGTATTGTATTGTATTGTTTTGTATTGTATTGTATTGTATTGTTTTGTTTTGTATTGTATTGTATTGTATTTTATAGTATTGCATTGTTATGTATGGCATTGTATAATAATTTTTCAGATGGAAAAATTGATGAGACATCTTGAGAAGAAGATTTAAAGAGATAATTGTCCGAGAAACATCCGCTCATTATTTCTTCATATAGCGTTATACATTCAACGTAAGCATCATATAAGGTTATCCTACTTGTTATCATCACTATCATCGTCATCATCATCGTCGTCGTCATCATCATCATCGTCACATCGTCACATCATCGTCACATCGTCACATCATCGTCACATCATCGTCACATCGTCACATCATCGTCACATCGTCATCATCATCGTCACATCGTCACATCGTCACATCATCGTCACATCGTCATCATCATCGTCACATCGTCACATCATCGTCACATCATCGTCACATCGTCACATCATCGTCACATCGTCACATCATCGTCACATCATCGTCACATCGTCACATCATCGTCACATCGTCATCATCATCATTGTCATCATCGCCACCATTGATATCATCATCAGCCATAACACATTAATTTAAAAATTGATTATTATAATTGCCATTCAAACGTGCTTGGTAATAACGTCATCATTCGGAGGAGATTAACGACATGATTAACATATTGATGCTGATGGTGATGAAGATGATGATGGTAATGATGATGATGATAAAGATGATGATGATGAAGACGACGACGACGATGATGATGATGATGATGAATATGATGATGATGATGAAGACGACGACGACGATGATGATGATGATGATGAATATGATGATGGTGATGAAGATGATTATGACGTAGATGATGACGATGAAAATGATGATGAAGATGATGATGAGGTTGATAATTAAGATGATGACGAAGATGATGGTCGTGAAGACGATGATAATGACGATGATGACGATGATAATAAAGATGATGATAATGATAATGATAATAATGATGATGATGATAATGAAAATGATGATGAAGATGATGATGGTGATGAAGAGGATGATGATTATGGTGAGGTTTTTGATGGTCATGGCGAAAAACAAATAAAAACATTAAATAGTATTTATCATCAGGTTCGTGTTTCCATTAATTTTCCGTGACGGAGTCAGATTTCAGAAATGAAGATCGAAGTTTCAAACCTTCACAGCCAATCTCATTAGCGCCGCACTCATTAGCATAATAAATATCTCAAAAAGCTGACGAATAATGAATCACAATCCTATTAATCATCATCACTATCT